CACCACCACCACCACCAATATCATTATCAGAATCATCATTCGTAGCAGCAGCCACCACCATCATCGGCAAATCATCAGAATCCTCGAAATTTGTATCATCATCATCATCATCATCTCTTTGTACCGCCACAAAGTTAAGGCTAGCGCAATCCAGAAGACCACGTTCTCCAGTTCCGGTGAAAACGTGCTCAGCTTTTTAAAAGTGATTAAATCTCTTTTTTTTAACTTTTTCGTGTTGTCAGAGCAGCCTGGATGAATTTACCTTGTCCAAACTCCTCTGCTATAGTAGTTATGAGCATTTTCATCATCGGAAAATAGATTTGGTACACTCCCAGACGTTTCGCCGGCATCGACATTGAGTGTAATCACTCCTCCCTAAACTGACTTAAAAGGGCACATCATTAAAGTAGCCAAGTTTGAACAATTTTTATGCACCAGAAGGTCATGGGGCGGATGCGACACTCAATGTAAACTAGGATTCTCCCAAATTTCACATACAATAAGAATGTTGATAAGGCAAAAATGTATTTTTTGTTTTATAATTAGGTTTTTGAGACTACCTATAGAATTAATATATGAGGTGTATTCACCCTATTTCATTTAAGGCGATAAAGGGGCTAGCAGTTTAATTTTCACCCAATGTCTAGTCCCTTATCTCGAAAACCTAGTTATAAAACAAAAAAAGAAATACATTGATTGCTATATGAAATACAACTTTGCTTCATCGACAATCTCACCCCGGAATGTGTTTTGGGAGATGCCTGATCTTACTTGAAATTCACATATGTCCTGGGACCCAATGGCACTCGTGGCAATGTGACGTAGATGTCAACTTGTCAAGATTATACGATACACTTTCATGCTTCAAGTCCCGTTGAGGGTGTTGATAAGACCAATGCGAGGTCGAAATTGCCGTCCACTCCTGTCTGGATGAGGATACCTTTTGGGAAGGCAAGGCTATGTAAAACGAAATGATAGCGTAAGGTATATCCATATCATTGTGGGGAAATTCAACAACCAGTTCTTCAGCATCTCGAACGAAATAGGGTGAATACACCTCAAACATATATTTCTCTGTACAATCCACGATACCAATTAGTCTCGATGTGAATTTCTCGAGTCACTTACCCTGATTAGCCTTAAATGTTCCAAGGGAAATTTACTAACATTATAAACGCCTACTTATTTTATTATTAGAAATTTCCCTATCAGAAATTAGGCGACTTTAAGCGACCTAGAGTAATTAAAATTAATATCTAATACTCTTTTTGCTCACAACGTTAACAACAGAAAAGGGCGGAATAAAGGGAGATATGAAATTATTTGCTTTGTTCCATTTAACTCAAATCGAAGTAATTGTACGTTTGAGCATATTCTGGTGCATGTGTTCACTTGTATACGACAGGCCACAAAACTACACGTTATTATAGATACGAATAAAAACTGGGTTTCGATGAATCTCCTGAGATAGCATTGTTAGAGGGACCTTTGTATGAAAGTGCATGAAGAAGAGATTCGTTGGTCGATCTCACCAGATGAGGACGGATGAAACTCGTTGTACCCGAGACAAGGGTGGAAGTCCCA